ATTTTTAACCATTCGCTACTATGAACAATAAAATTACCTTTGAAGAAATAGGTATTCTTATAATTATGCTCATTTATGTAATGGAAAGATACTCCTTTAAGAATTAAATGTGTACATTTCCTTCTACTATACTTCAGGAAACAAAATTTTCATCAGCTCAGTCCTATTTTTAATATCCTGGTGAAACTTTAAAAAATAATTGCCATGGCAATGTTAGTGACTATAGGAATAGATGGTAAATTGCTTCTTTATATTCTCTATGGTCTTTCTGATTTGGGTGACTCATTATACAGAGTGAAAAATTTGGAGCCATCTTATTACTGATGGTTCATTTTCAAAAAGTAAACTATGGCAGCAGTCACAAGGAGCCCTTTCATTAGAGGAGTTCCCATGACAGCTTATCTTTTGAAGAACATTTTTAATTGTAGGTTTTTAAACTTTTTATTTTGGAAAATTTCATATATTTTGTGTTAGTCAATTTTTTGTCACCACAATGAAATACCTAAGATAAGTAAAGTGGTTTACTAAGAGTTTTAGAGCTTTTATGGCCTGGGGTTGTTATTAATAAGCTCAGTTCTGGTGAGGACTATCTTATCTTTATCACATCATGGCTTATGGCAATGGCAGGAGCAAGGGACCATGTGGCAAGGCAGGATGCAAAAAGAGACTACATGGTGTCAGGCTCGGAGTTCTATAACAGTTCTCTTACGAGGACTAACCAGGGTCCCATAAAAAAATACTTTAATCCCTTTCAAGGGCATGTGGCCAATTTACCTATGACCTCCCGCTAGCCCCTCCTCCTAGATGTACACACCATCTCAACACTGGGGACCAAGTTTCCATCCCACGTGCCCTTGGGGGACAAGCCATATCTAAACTTTGTCACATCTTCCAGAGCATAGAAAATATTTCATGAGTTTTAGTGTTCTAGTTTATAGCCGTAACAATTACCAACTCATTGGCCAGTCTTGTTTCACGTATATTTCTGCTTAATGTTCTGTGAAGTGCAGGACAACCCCACACCAAAGGACTATTTGGCACAAAATGTTCAGAATACCACTGTTTAAAAAACCTGATTTAGGTCGTTAATTTGTCCTAGCAGTGTTTTTGGAGTTTTCAATGTAGGGGTACTTTATAATCTTTATTAGATTTAGTTTTAGATAGTTAATTTTTTAGTGCTATTGTAAAGGGTGATTTTTTTAAAATCTCATTTTCTAATTGTTGCATGTGTGTGAATAGATACACGTGTGTGTGCACCTATGTGGTGCTGTTTGAGATGTCTTCTCATGAGTGTATTTATGTGTCTGATGTTTGATAGTCTCACTTTAAAGTTTCCCTTTGGTCTCTTTTTCCCTCCTATGATTCTTTATTGTTGAAGAAACTAGGATCTTTATCCTGTAGACTTTTCCACAGCTTAGATTTTTGCTGATTCTGTCACCACGGCAGCATTTAACACATTCTGTCCCTGTCTTTATGTGCATTGCCCATATCTCTAAATTCATTAGGACCTGTACCACGGTGATTTACTTTTCATTTATGAGCCCAGGAAACTTCTATAAAGGGAAACTCTCCCTACCCCCAAACAATTGGTTCCTCTGCGTCCACAGAGTAAAGGCAGGGTAAATGCTTATTCTTGCTCTTTTAAAGGATCTCTTTTAAAAATAATGAGTTGGTTTCCCAGTAGGAAACTAGTGAGTTTTTTAAAAAATTAAAAGCATCATTATGAATGCATGGTTTCAACTTGATATTTCAATCCGTTGCTGTTTTTGTTCTCTAGGGTGATCAAATTATTCCATATTTGGCTAATGGGAACCTCTTCAAGACCCTACTATGTTTTTTAAACTTCCTTAATTTCTGCTATAAAAGGACATTTTCAGGCTCTTCTTGAGCCTTTCTTGCCCCTGACTTGGAAGCAGCCATTGCTTCAAGTGAGCCACAGTCCCTTGCTCCATTATCTGGAGAGGGTGCTCATGTCATGCACAGCGCGCTGGGTGGTCATTGGTTCTGGGCCTTTCAGTGGGCAGATCTAGGATAAATATATGCTTTCAAAGATTAGAAAATAATACAATGGGTTTTCATTGATTCTTTCTTTTTTGGACTTTCCAGATTTTTAAATTAACTTCATCCTCTCCCATATGCACAAAATCTTGGATCTCTACATACGTAATCCTTGCTTTATTACAAATGAGGCACACAGCAGCCTGAGAGTAAGACGCCCTTATCCAGTTAGAATATGGTTACCGAAATGAGTGGGGCAGGGGCATCTTTTGAGGGTCTGTTTTCAGGGATACTCATGATCGGGGTTTACTATTAGATTACGACGTTCTACAATATTGGAGTAGTTTCTACTCTGTGTAGTTATGTTACCATTTCATTTGCATCAGAAGTGCATTGCATTCATTTCACTTCTGATTTGTAGGAATGGCATGTTAAAGTTTAATTTGGTGTTGTTATTGTGTATCATGATTACAGGGTTCCAGAGTTGAATCTACAGACAAGGTAGATACAGGGAAACTTCATTTCTTTGTGTCTTCCCTATTCCCTCCCTCACCCTATAGGAATCCATTTTTAAAACAAGTGTTACGAGTTATCTCACCATGGCAGGTTCCCAGCATGAGCAATCTTGAAATGAGCCGAGTGCCTCTTCCCTCTCCCGACCCTGGCACTGGGTTTTCCATCATCATCCTCATACTTTGGAGGAACAATTTGAGATCTCCAAAACAAATATGTTTCATATAAAGACATCTTAATTAAGATGAAGTAAGTTAATCACTTGAAGTATGTTAAGTTAAAACACCAAGTAAGCCTGGGTGGATGGAGCTGTTCTAACAGCCAGTGCTCCCTGGCCCTACATTCTTTATGCCTGGTGCACCCAGATGCTACGCAGTTTGCACACAGCACCTCATGGAGGGAAAATTGTTCTATTGGGCTGGTTTCTACGTTTTTTTCCCCCACTTAAATGATAAGATGGTATGTGAAGTAATAAGGGCAAGGTTAGATACTATGAATAATTAATTGCCATGACTCTCAGAAACCTAATTTTAGTCAAGAACAAGAAGCAAAAGTAGCAACACTAGTTTCAGCTTCTTTCACTTCTCAAGTGGCAGAGTGGTTAACATGGCAAGGAAGGAAGGGTGAAGCCAGTTGCCAGCACTGGATTGAAACACATCTGTTCCTCAATAGCAGGGCTCTGTCACTCCTTGACTGATTGCTGTCTGCTGAATGCTACTGTGTTAGGTACCTCAGATACCCCTACCTCCCACCCCACACAGCCAACTCCAAGAGAAAAAGTGGATGTGCATACCTTTTGTTTCAGTGGCGCTACCTCTAGTAATTTATCCCATGAATGTATTTGGTGTTACGTACAAAATTATAGGTACAGGATGTCCACCAAGCATATGCGTGCCTGTGCATATGTGGAGAGTCACACCTCCACACTTTCATTTTGAACAGAATCTAATTTTCTAAGAGGAGATTAAATAAATTGTTACATGCTTTTATATACTGACCATATATTTGCATAATAAAAAATCAGTAAAATTATTTTTTAAGAAGGCAGTTACAGTGCAACAAATCCTACCATTATGTGAAACTATAATGTACCAATAAAAAATAAAGAAGAAGAAGGCAATTACAGGTTCCTTTTCCTTTTAGTACAATTTATAGAGATATATATTTTGTACTATTTTTTTTTAATTTGAAGCAGAAAGCTTATATCCTTACATGCTTTTGAATCAATTGGCATTGGTTTGGTTTCATCTTTGACTTATTCCAAAATAGGACGATGAGCATGTAACACAGTGAGGGAATGACTGACTTAGAGAGGCATTCTTGACATTGTTGGATGGTAAGTTGAGTTTGTGAGATCTGATGCTGTGGTAAACTCCTTTGTTCTTCTCTAGAAGTGATATAGATTTTATGTGTGTAAAGTTTGAAAAGTTTTGCTTTTTTTTTTTTTTTTTGTACCAGGGATTGAACTCAGGGGCACTCGACACTGAGCCACATCCCCAGCCCTATTTTGTGTTTTATTTACAGGCAGAGTCTCACTGAGTTGCTTAGCACCTCACTTTTGCTGAGGCTGGCTTTGAAATTGTGATCCTCCTGCCTCAGCCTTTAAGCTGCTGGGATTCCAGGCGTGTGCCACCTCTCCTGGCTGTTTTGCATTTTAAAAATGAATAATAAGGGGAATAGGAATAGGAAAGACAATGAAATGAATGGGACATAACTTTCCTATGTTCATATATGAATACACCACCAGTGAAACTCCATATCATGTACAACCACATGAATGGGAAGTTATACTCCATGTATGTATAATCCATCAAAGTACACTCTACTGTCATGTATAACTAAAAAGAAAAAATAAAAAAGTGAATAATAACCACCTTCCTTTGGTCACGATGTTACAGATATCAGGTTGCTTCTATCATCTTTATAGCTACCGTGTCAATTCTTTAATAGCTACAATATTAAAGGCAGTCTTTGTTATAATTTGTTCCTGTTATCTGCTTTAAAGAATTGAGAACAGATTCTGTTCTACAGGTAGAGCATTAACCAGTGCATTGCCTCGTTAACTTTTTTCATAGGGTGATTTAATCGGCTTGATGACCTTAATTTCAATTCAATTAATGGGATTGTATAGTGATCCTGACCCATCAGATGATTTTTTTGTAATAACATAACAATATAACTTATTGCTTTTTATTATTGAAAAAACACATAACAAAATTTATCATCTTTATGATTTTTAATTATATAGCACAGCACTCTTAACAACATAAACATAATTCATTGCTTTAATAATAAAAAAAAAAACTTGTTCAACCAGTGTTACAGCTCACCTATGTTCTCAGAGTTTCATGGAAATAGCAATAAATTAGTAGATCAAATTTCACACTTTTGATAAGTCTTCCAAAACTAAGGCACAGGGAAGAGGAAGGCTATCAGATGATTTTAAAGTAAAAGTTTACAATAAAAATACTTTTATTTTTTCTTAACAGGAATCATAGCCCACTGATGAGTTTTGGAGCCAGCTTTGTCAGTTTTTTGGTAAGTTGATATTAAAAGAGGTATTGGTATGAAGGAAGCAGTTATAAACTAATGTCTCTTTTTGGCTACCAGCTGCATAGTATACCATTGTAGAAAATTCTGTAGCATTTAAAACTGAAATCGTTTTTGCCTATTAACCAATGCCTGTAGATAATTTACCTCATTTTAAAAATAAAATGTTGTATCTTGTAGAGTATTATATTTTTCCCACTCAAAATTCTTTTTAGAATAAAAATATAATCGAAAGACCTTCAAAAATTAAAATGTATTGGGACAGCGGGCAGGTCTGCCTCTGGGTAATAAATATTTGCTCTAAAATTATTGAGTAACTGCACGAGAAGACAAGTTCAATGAGCAAAGATATGAGAATTGAGGGAATAGGTTTTAGTTAGGTTTTAATCAGGTGGTATAAGAAAGTGGATGCTTTCTTTTCAGAAATATTCACACCAACTACTTCCAAACACACACGTTTTTAAAAACATCATAGTATTATATAAGGGGGCAGGGAGACAGGAGAAGATACCCAGTAGAAACCAGAAGGGAGACAGCATTTAGATTTGAAATTCAGAAAGATGTCACCAAATAGGCATATTATGCCCAGCCTGGTAGTGCCCAGCTGTAAGCATGAGGCCATCTCCAGTGTGATGGGGTTTTATTCAGACTATTTAGTTCCTCTTATTATAGATAATGCAACAAAATTTTAGAGCCTACTCTTGGCATCAATACATAGTTCCACATCTGAAAAAAAAAAAAGTACTGAATGAGGATTGTAACATTAGTACCCAAGTGACTACAAAGGCTGAATCAAAGGGAATGAACAGGGTGGTGACCAGGGCATCGGGGGGTGGGGGTGACCAGGATGGTTGGGAGAAAGAGTGTAACTAGGAAACTAGGACATGGGTGACCAGGGTCTAGTTTGGCTAGGACAGAAAAATAGGTTCGAGTCATAGTGACAAGTCCTAGAATTTCAAGGTAGGGCTGGGGAATCCAGTGGGGAACGGAGAGCTAGAGACTGTTCATAGGTCCTTCCAAGAACCAGCTCTCCTGCCTCTGTACACACCCATCTCAGAAATATCACTTCCACCCATTTAGATTTGGCTTGACAACATCAGCCAGCATCAGGTGCCTAAAATCAAGCTGTCAGTGGAATTTTTAACTATAGATGGTATAAAATAAGGAAACCCACAGGAATTACTCTGGAAAGACTGATGATTTCAAAGAGCACCTCTAGTGGTTGTTTTGTTAGCCTTTCTATACAGTACTTACTAGAGGCAGGGGTCTATCTAGAGTAGAATGAACTTTTGAATGAGACCCTATCAAAAAAACTGAATGGAGGGACTGGGCTGTGGCTCAGTGGTAGAGCGCTTGTCTAGCATGCATGAGGTACTGGGATTGATCCCACGCACCACATAAAAATAAACAAATAAAATAAAGGTATTGTGTCCATCTACAACTAAAATAATATTAAAAAAAGAAAAAAAAATTGAATGGAGTAGACCAATTAGAAATTATACAAAATTTTTGCTGCTGCATTTAATAACAGCAGAAATGCAATAGAATGACAATTGCAAGGACATTCGTTACTGTATGTGTATATATATATATATATATATTTTTTTTTTTCATGCTGGTGTAATAGAGTCATATATTATGTAATATCAAGATTATAGTGTCTTTAAATGAAAGGGTGTGCTGTTACATTTTGATTCTTTTACTTGCAACAAATAATTTAAGTGAGGTTTTTTTTTTCCTAGTTTGGAGTACTGTTGTAATAAAGGGGCCTGAAGTTTCAGACACTTACTGATTCATTCATTCTCTCCTTGTTTCTTGGCAGAATGCCATGATGACATTTGAGGAGGAAAAAATGCAGTTGGCGTGTGATGACTTGAAAACCACAGAAAAGCTGTGTGAAAGTGAAGAGGCTGGAGTCATTGAAACAATCAAGAATAAAATTAAGAAGAATGTAAGTCGTGCGCCTTTAGATTATGGGCTGTGTACTATTTAGAGTATCACTTGGGTTTCCGTATTTAAAATAGGATTGAAAACAAGCAGTAAATGTTCCCCGTGGCTTCTGGTTATGTGAAATGCCTCTCACAAAGTTGTAGAAGCCCTTTCCCGTCATTAGAGCCATCTGTTGGTATTTTAGAGCCACCATTTCTAGAGCTGGGGGTGTGGTTGGTGTAGTGGCAGAGCACTTGCCTAGCATGTGCAAGGCCCTGGGTTTAGTCCCCAGTACTAGAAAAAGAAAGCAAGAATGATCTTCTTCCATAATGGGCTCCCATGACAAGGCTCTTCTAATGAGAGTTTCTTGTGTATAATTAAACATCACTCAGTGACAGCTGAGCAATAAAACACCTGCATTTTGGCTGACTTGAAGAATTTAGCCACTGACCTCGTTTCCCCCAGGTCTCACCAGCCTTTGATTATAAAGTCTCAGTTACACCTTTCTGTATTTTGCCCTCCCCTTTCAGTTCAAAAGTTCCCAGTACAGAGGGGAATGCTTCCATCCCTTGCTTGTGGTGTCCACCATGAGGAAGCCACTGATGGGCCAAGAGTGCTGGCTCCTGACGCTCCACATGGGCCAGACTCATTCTTGCCTCTTCCTCCTTCAAACCTGATGTACAGTCAGTGACCAGTCCCTGATGACTGTCTTTTTAAAATACCTCTTGAGTTTGTGGACTGCTCTCCATCCTCACCATCATCTTCCTAGGCCATCCCCTTTATCTAAGATAGACTGGCACTCTGCCTCGGTCTCTCTACTCTCCCATTCATTCTCTATAATACAGTCAATAATATGTTGTTTACTTGATTTTCAGTGCTAGCTCCAGCCATGGCCTTTATAATAAAGTCTAAACCCCTAAGTATAGCTGGCATATGCCTCTGCATATTCTTCTCAGTCTTCATCAGGTTGCTTCTCTTAGTTCTTCCTTCATAGATAAGTTTTCCCCCAAGAACATTTGCCTGAGTCTCCAAACCCTGCTGAGTATATCTCCTAAGATTCCTGTAGTTCCCTATGCTTTAATCCTTCAGACCACTTTCTATGTTACAAGGTGATAAGGTCTATATTTCCTCATTAACTGTAAACTATTTACATGTCTGTTCTCAATTTCTACTACTACACCTCGCATACGTGTTAATTATTAACATTGCAATGGCTGTTACAATTTATAAAGCATTTTCATATACAGCATCTCATTAGCCTTCTGGACAACCTGCACAGTAGATGTTGCTATAAATAAAGAAACAGAAGCATTGATACACAGACATTTTCCCAAGCAATCAGAGTAATGAGTGCTGGGGCTTGACAGAGAATAGCAGAAATGATGATGGATTATGAAAATCTAGAAAAAGAGAGACATTAGTATTGTTGGGTATATATGTGACTGCATGATCAATGTAATTCTGCAACCTGTATACTCAGAAAAATGAGAAATCGGGCTGGGGATGTGGCTCAAGTGGTATCGCGCTCGCCTGGCATGCGTGCGGCCCGGGTTCGATCCTCAGCACCACATACAAAACAAGGATGTTGTATCCGCCGAAAACTAAAAAATAAATATTAAAATTCTCTCTCATTCTCTCTCTCTCTCTTAAAAAAAAGAAAAATGAGAAATTATATCCTATCTGATTCAATTGTATGATATGTCAAGATCATTGTACTGTCATGTGTAACTAATTAAAACAAATTACAAAAAATTTTTTAAAAAGAGAAACATGTCTTACTATTATGCATACTATCTATTCTATTGACATATTTGCAAAATTCTATAATTTCTCATGTCACTATGAAAGTTTCTTGGGGTTAAGAATGCAGAAATGTACAGAAATGTTCTTTATGATAAAACCAGTATTTTTTGATTGATTTTACTTTTTGCTTATTTTTACTTATATGGCCTAAATTTCAAGTATAATTTGTGATTTATTCAAAATGGATTTTTAATTCCAGGGTATTTTCTCCTTAATAGAAATGTAATCAGTTTCCAGCCCTTACATCTCAGTTATGTACACCAAAAGAATGTACCCTAATATTAGTCTTACCTGCAGATAAATGCTATAAATTGACTTTTTGGGTTACTGACTTAGGGAATGTATTATCTATGATGATTTTAATTATGGATAAATTAGAATTTACATTATCTTAAAAAAAGTGAGCCTCTGAAGTTTTGCATTCATGTTCATGTTTTCCATGAATTTAGATATTATCACTTAGAATATTTTTTTGAATCTAAAATGTTCTTTAGCACTATGTTGTTGGCAAAGCTCAACCTAATGGGAGTATGGAGCTTCCAAGCTTCTAGCATAAATTTGGTATTGGCTTTGGGTGACTGCCATGTTTTACAACTCCAAAGTGAATTATCTTGTAGCTTTAAGTAATAGTTGTTTGGAGGGAGATTCGTTCATGTGTGTGATTTATTGGTGTGTTCTTTCTTTCCACCAAACAGGTTGATGTCCGCAAATCCACTCCCTCTATGGTTGATCGGCTTCAAAGGCAGATTATCATAGCTGACTGTCAGGTGTATCTGGCTGTGCTTTCCTTTGTCAAACAAGAATTGTCAGGTATGCTGAAGCTTTCTTTTTAATGGATTTTTGCTATTCAGCAGACAAAATCAGTAATACTTTTTAAAAAAATTTTAGACTACCTTGTATTTCAGTCTTTGAGAATATGTGGCGCCTCTTTGGGGCTTGATACTGATTTATTACTTGGGAAATTGAAACCACAAGTGCTTAATGTGTGTTGAGCAGAGTAGTTTTAGTCCCAAAGTTTATGTTTCATCCCCCGTCTCAAGATAATTTTGTCTTACTTAGAGAAATTATGAATGCCTTTTTAAAAAATTTTAATGGACCTTTATTTTATTCATTTATTTATACGTGGTGCTGAGAATTGAACCCAGTGCCTCACACATACCAGGCAAGCATTCTCACTGAGCCACAACCCCAGCCCATGAATGCCTTTTTTTATGTAGATATACTACTTTTTCTTTGTGGGAATCAAGTTGTAATGCTCATCTTTAAAGTGAAATCTAACTGGTTTAAATTTAAGTTTTTCAGGAAATTGTTATTAAAGGCCAGAGCACCTTCAATGGTTTTAAGTATATTAGGACATGATTAAAGATCATTAAAGATTTTCTAATACACTTGAATGACCAGCATGGTAACAACTTTTAATAGGGGTTATCAACTGATTTCTTAATTAGTTTGTCCAAGACAATTTTTTTCTAGGCTTTTGTAGCTTTAATTTCTTAAGTGAAATAGACTCAATGAGTCTCTGATAGCTTGCTGTAAGAGTATGTCTAAAATTGACCTAATTCTTTCCCTACTGTGGTTCTGTGTCTCTTGGATCCTTGCAGCAGAAACCTGCCACTTTGGTAGACAGGATTTACTTGGCAAAAAATGAAAATTCAAAAAGAAAATTAGTTAAAATTCACAGTCAGAAAAATATTTTCTCCCCAAACTTGAATGAAGAAGGATGTGTCTGCTACATTATAAGTACATTTTTCTTTCTAGACAACCAGAAACCAATATATCCCCCCTCCTTTTTCTTCTCTTTCTTGCTCTCTTTACCTGTCTGTCTCATACTTGAAAATGTTTTGTTTCTGTTTGGCTCAAATTCAAAGTGGAATTTAACTTTTAATTTGGCCTCTAAAATTTGGGCTTCCTAGAATTTATCTTTTTTTTTTTTTTTAATATATCGTATGAGGCACTTGTACCATTTCTTTTGGTTCATTTCTTTTTCTTTAACCCTCTTCTCGTGACTCTCTCAAGACCTTGTTTACGTGATTGACAGCCCCTAGCCTGTATGAATCTTCTATAATGCAGTAAGGTAAAACCCCAAATCAGCTCCACACTGATTTGGATATAAAAGAACACAGAGCTTATCTGGCGCTCTTTGTTCAAGACAGGGACTCTGGTTTTTCTATGATTTTGTACATTATCTTCCTGATGCTCAAGAACTCTTTTAAGGAGCTAATTTTAGCCATTAAAAAAAAAATCTGCTCAAAGAGAAGGGTAGCCTGGTGTAAGGTCACACACCTGTTGTCCAGCTCCTCAGGTAGCTAAATGAGGCTGGAAAGGATCACTTGAGTTAGAGAGAGGTAAAATCAACGCACACTTAAGTATAAAAATATGTCAAAAGTTAAAAGTGAGCATATCTGTCCTTCATTTGCTCATTCATTGATCATTCAGCAAATAATTACAGAGCTCATAATGTGTGGTAAGCACAGACCATGGACCCTGCCCACGTGAAGTTACAGGCAGCAGAGCATATTATTTATTTTTAAATTATTCTGATTATAAAATTGCTAATATCTTATTATAGAAAATTTTGAAAAAGTAAGTAAGTGCAAAAGAAAGCAAGCCATCATCTGTAACTACTCCCAAGGAATTATTCTTTATTGCAAATAATGGATTTTAAGTTTTCTTCTCTATAAAAATAGAGACTTTTACAAAATTGAACCTGTATTCTTTTGTATCTAACTTTTCCCTCTTAGATTATACTTTGAATATTTTTCTATGACTTAGTTTCATAATATAATTTTAAATAATAGCGTTATTAGTTTATTATAGGGATAGGCTATAGTTTACTCAATTCCGTAGACATTTGAGCATTCTTTTTTGTGTATTTTTTCTTATTAGTGAAGCTGAACCTATTTCTGTTTTAATCAGTTGATTAATTTTTGTGATGCTGGTGGACATTTTGCTACTAAGCTACATCTCTACCCCCACCAATTCCCATTTTTGGTGTGTGGTGCAGGAGATGGAACCAGGGCCACATTTGTGCGAGGCAAGTGCTCTACCACTTAGCCACACTCCAAGCCTTTCCATTCCATTCTGTTTTCAGTTTGCCATTATAGCTTTTACACATTCCTCTAACAGTTTGATATGAAACAATTACTTAATCCCACTTACTATATATATGTAGCATCATTCTTGATGTTTCCTGAAGCCTTAGGTTTTATTAAATGTGTTATTGGTATTGAAGTGAACTTCTCACAGGCTTAAGAGCCTTGGGTCCTAATGAATTTATGTAGTATCAGTTTGCTTTTTGAATAGTTACACATTTGTTTCAAATAAGCAGACAAACATAACTAACATGTGCTTCTTTTACTTTTCAAATAACTGCAAATAATTTGTTGTTGGAATCCATTTCTTAGAAAACACTTTATGTAGATACTTTTCTAGAAGTATCTACCAGGGATGTGAGGGAGCACACCTGGTTGGCACACACTAAGCTCTGGGAGAAGATGAGTCAATAGTTGTTTTTAGTGCTTCATACTTTTTGAAGAGGGTTTACCTCATTTGAATTTCTTTATAACATATTGCCCCACCATCTCATCTTTCCTCATTTTCCCATGCTACTTTCTCTTTAGTTATTTTGTGATCCAAGAGTGTTTTTATTTCTCCAGGGAGAATATATTGCTTGTGTAATAAGGAATTGTTTTTTAAACATATTTTGTGGCACTGGCCACCTGAGTTTATCTTCGTTTCCCTTTATTTCCTATTGGATTTGAAGATAGGGCCCATATCTTATGTTCTTGGCATGATGAACACTCAGCTACTTTCCTTCCTTTCCTGGGAGAACTGAGAGTGAGTGATTTGGTCAAGGTTGACTGATTTGCAGAGCTTGTGAGCTATGACAGACTAGGACCAAAGCCATGGTTTTCTTATTTCATAACCAAATTCCTAGTGTTAATACTTTTGCCCATCACTTCAATCTGGTTATTTGTGTCACCACATGGCCCCAAACCCTGTGTTTCCCAAGGCATTTTCCTCATATCTCCCAATGTCCAGTGGCACGAGCCCCGGCATAGAGTAAAGCCTACTGCCCCTTCACTCCCCTCTCCCTGCCATAGTCTCTGCACAACCCCTGAGGCCATCTTCCTGACGCATGTTACATGTGTACTGTAGACACTTAACTGTCCTGCACTGACCACAGGGTAGAGTCCAAGTCCCTTCCTTGAGTGGCACGTAAGAACTTGCCCGCTCCTAGGCTCCTGCTGCCTACTGTCTCACCTGGCTGAGTGCCGCAGTCTGGCTGGGCACAAATCACGAGCCGCTCAAGCAGGAACAAACTTTATTTCCTTGCCTACTCCCTGGGTCCCCTTGGCTGCTGCTGCTTGTCCACACTGCCTCTCAGCTTGGAACACCTCTTCCCCTTCCTCCTTCTCTCTCACCTAGTCAAGTGCAGGCCAAGCCTTCCTCCTTCCTCATTGACTCCATCAGTCTAATTTTATCACTCTATTTATACATAAATTACATAATCAATTACAGCTGTTATCACACAACCATACCCATTTTTTACATGTCTGCCAAAACATAAGACTGTAAACTCCTTGAGAGCAGGGATTGTGCTGGTCTCCCTGCTGTTTTCCCTGTTTCCAACACACATGGAGCTAGTAGAACACATCGGATGCTGTGTGAGATGATGGGTGCTGATGCCCCAGAGACGAATGGGAGGCAGCCCTTGCCTTGAGGGAACCCATGATATAGCAAGGGGAAATGATGGCTAAATAAATTCTATTTCAGGGAGATACCATAGCCAGCAGACATTAGGTTAGTCCTAGAGATTACTTGGGGAGTGAGCCAGTCTGATCCTTTGGGAAGATCGAGAATCCCCAATTCTGTCCCTGAGCAGAATTAAGAAGAATCAAAGTTTATTTCCTTCTTGATGTCCTTGATACTTGCTTTGGTGCCTCTGCCTAGCACATAGTGTGTTTCTGTTCAGAGAATTAAAGGGAAGAATGGGGGAGGGATGATGTCATTCAGGAAAGAAACTGGGAGTAGAAAAGCAAGTCGGATAGAAGTCTGTTGACTGGGGGTGAAGATAATGAGGCGGTGGGCTGACTGGTGAAAACAGTATCATCTTTTGTCCTCAGTGTCTGTCATTTGGGTCACCAGAGAGACAAGGCTGTACTTACCCTTTCTTATGGGGTTATCCAGTTTCGTCGTAGGACAAGTAAACAGATGGAATGTGGTGGATGGTGGGTGCTCTCATCAGATACCTTCCCCCTGCAAAAATTACAAAATTCATTGCAAGATTAATTTAGTGCACCTTGACATTTTTGTTTCCCAGGCAACCCTTGCCCTTTCCCGGAAGGACTTCCACCTATGTCTTCTCCATGACTCCCAGTGGATTGATGCCTAAATCTATTATCATAGGGCAAATGGTGTGTTCCTATCCTCTCTGCCTTCTTCTGCAGGCACAGAAGGATCACCATGGCTGAATGATTTATACTGACCTTTCAGAGGAGGCTTTGGAAGGCCACACAGTGTGTGACTATTGAATACTGTGTTGCCTGCATGTTGGGAAGCAGGTACTCACTGGCGTCATTGCTAAGTCTAGCTGACCACAGGCCCCTCCTACAGAGCTGGATCATGCTGTGCTCTGACTGGGATTCACTTAGCACCACCTTCTCCAAATGCACCACAGTGTTTGGGACCAGGAGTGGGGCAAGTCCCTCTGCAAAACCTATTCCAATATCAAGTTGAATGTAGAAAGTTGTAAAAGCAAAACAATCCTCTGTTTGCATGTTAACTTTGTTTTGGACATATTTCAGTTTATAGTCTTTGATGTAGTCCAAAACCCTGGGTTTCATTTCCCTGGTTCAAATTAAGGCTCTTCAAGTTGCTGTGGATTTTAATATGGGATTTTTAAAATGGTAGTAAGGTGCCTATCTTAGGCATGAAATTAAAAATAGGTTTAATTCATTTCATTTTTATTCTGTAAGAATGAGGGTTTTGTGGGGGGCTTGTTTTATATTATTAACTAAGTTTCATGCAGTGAGGACTTGATAGATTTTTATGTCTGTTTTCAGGGCTACTGTTCTTTTCTCTAATCTTCGTCTGAGATCTGGATTGTTACAGCTGATTCCCTTCAACCCCAGTGTTAGAAGATGCCCTATCTCTCTATAGCTGGTGCTCATTCCTCAGTTGGACTTAAACCCATTGGTCCTATTGTGTCTCCTGCTTCACCTGCCATTGTTCTTCAGTGTCACACTCTTCTGCCCCTCTCCTAGGATGATGCCTTTTCCTGCATTGAGGAAGAGAGTTAAAAATTTCCCTCCAAATTTCCAGTTAGGGATTGGGGTGGGAAGCAGTGAAGTTTTCTACTGAAATCCTACAATGCTTCATTTGGCATTTTTACATGTTTGTTGTGTGGAAAACAATTTAATGACAAAAATAAATTAAAAAGAACCATTCACTCAGACACTTAGCTTGGTTTATTTTCACTTTTTCTACGTATGACCCAGGTACATACATTCATATAATTTGTCTTATATTGCATGAATTTTTAACACTTTTTTACGTTTTAATTTTATTCAGGCATTTGGAGGGCTGGAATTTTAAAATAACCTTTTAAATTAGTTTTATAGTTCTTTTGTGTCCCTTAGATGCCACCATAGTCCCTGGCATATAATAGGAACTTTATCAATAGCTGATAAACATGTTTAGGATTTTGCAGACTTTCTTTTTCTTTCATTTTTAAAATTTTCAAGCCAGTGACTATTTATTTTCAGTTAGATCTCAATTGCTTTTCTTCTTAAGAGTATATGTTTCCCATTTCTTTTCTTTTTCTCCTTTTTTAAAATTATACATTTGGCTTTTCTGATCATAACTGAGAATCATCTTTCTTGTTTGTCAGCATGTTGGACCAATCCAAATGCTTGAAATTCCACTGTGTTAGTATATGAAGAAGTTTTCTCTTCCTATAGTACTTCCACGTTGGAGGGGGAAGCCACTGAGCCTTAAAGAACATTTGTCCCATTTCTCTTTGATTTACCTGGATCGGTTCCTAAAATGTAGTTCTGTATAAGCAGTGACTACTTCTGTTAAATTGAACTAAATAAGAAGATTGTTTCAAACATGTATTGCTTTTGTAATTGTAAAATTATGAAAATCATTTCCTTTAAACCAAACTTTTATAGACTAATTTGTTTCACTTGTTCATTCAATTTTGTATCATCCTTTTCAATAGATGTAGACTCTAGGACATTAACTACCCAAACTTGGAAGATGATTGTGTTTTCAATTGTGATCCCATGGGAAATGTGGCCATCATTTGTTGGAAAATTGATACATTTAAGTAAAATAATAGCTTTCTAGTATGTATTGGGGGGTTTCCAAGTTCTTCCTGAGGTTTGAGGAATCACAAGGAGGATTCAGGACTCAGCATGCAGTTGTACTCAAAACTGCAATTTTTTAAAAAAAAATTGTTGTTTTTAGGTATATGTGATGGGGCTGATCTTATAGGCATTCCCTACCTTGCAATCCAATTCTAAACCCCCAGAAGGAATGCAGGCATTTGTTATAATCATGGTTTTTAGGCAACAGCAAGCCACTCTCTTTTAGTTCTGTGAATGATAAGAACCCCATCCCAGGTCCAAATTCCACATCCAGCCAAGGGCCTATGTTGTCAGCAGGCCTTTTAGAGGATAGTAGGCAGGGCTAGGGAGCTAATTCTTTTCTAAACATACCATCTAGTCATAGCTCACATTCAATTCAGGGATTGAGAGTTTATAAATCATATTTTATTTTATATCATGTACTTTCTGAAATTGAAAAATAACCTTTTAAAAATCTGTTTTCCTGCTGTTCCTCAGGGTCTGGAAGTCTGGGTTAGTTCATGTTTTTCATTTGTGCAGGAATGTCAGGGTCATGGTATCATTTGTGGTGCCACCTGGGTAAACTCTCTTCTGTGGTTATAAGGGAGTTTCATTTTACAGAAAATTCTCTACAGAAAACCTCAAAAAATGTGGCAATGATGTGTGTTGGCTTCTCATTGCTATGACAAAATGCCTAAGAAAATTGTCTTATAAGGAGAAAAGATTTATTTTAGCCCACTGTTTCAGAGGTTTCCGGTCGTGGTCACTTGACCTTGTTGCATTTCATGATAATCAGAAAGCAGAGGGAGAGGGAGAGGGGGAGGGGGAGGAAAGGGGGAGGAGAAGCGGCCAGGGTCCCAGTATCCCCTTCAAGGGAAAGCTTCCAGAGATTAACTTCATTCCATTCATCTCCACCTTCTGAAGGTTCTGCCACCTCCAGGTATCTCCACAGAACAGGGGCCAGGACTTTAACATATGGGCCTTTGAGTGACATTTAATATCTAAAACAGGATGCACATTGTGGCTGAAGGGGTGACTGAGGAGTCCCTAAACAGACTGAAATAGTCACAGGTGGTTGGTAACCCCACTCCATGTGAGGGTGAAAATGTCCACAGAGGAGGGATGAATGGCAGAATGCCAAGAGCCTGCTAGAGGGGTTCAGTGGGCTTGAAGAGTGCTAAATCCTACATCTTGACTCCTATCCTTGAAGGTCTTCCTTGTGATACATTTTCAAGAGGGCTCTCTCTACTAAGGAAAATTGGCCTAATGGGAAATAATGGAAGCAGCTTTAAAAATAACAGGTGAGATCAGGTGCAGTGGCATATTCCTATAATCCCAATGACTCAGGAGGCTGAGGCAGAGGATAACAAGTTTCAAGTCAGCCTCAGAAACTGAGTGAGACCCTATCTCAAAAAATTATAAGGGTTGGGGTTGTGGCTCTTCGGTAGAGTGCCCCTGGGTTGAATCCCCAGTGCTGAAAACAAAACAAATAGATTGTCACCCTCTGGTATGGAGTAACTTACTGTCTTCCTCCCTGTTCACTGTGGATCTCTCTAGGCTAGGGCAGTGGGTTAGCGCCATGGTCATAGACCAAACAAATCCACCCCAACCAGATGTTAAGCCACACAACAGGCATCAGGTCTAGGTGAATTGGGGATTCTTTGCATTTAACATGAATTTTTTTTTTTCTGCAATAAACTGGCCATTTGTTTACCCAGTAAATGTCAATTAATTATTTTTATTTGCGTGTAATATTTTTTTTGGCAAGATGCTCAAAATACTTGGGTATAAATTTAGCAGTGAACTAGACTTAGAACTTTCTTTTAAAGGAATGAAAATATAGGGTAGGCTAAACAAATAAAAGACTTATACACACACACACACACACACACATATATATATATATATAAAATATATAATGTACATATGTAATATATAATATATATATTTCTTGCCAAGTGGTTATGCAGTGTAGTGAAGGAAGATCAACAACAAATAAGAGATTTAAGAAAGCACTGCAAAGAAAACTAGATGCAGGGCTGGGGTGTGGCTCAGTGGTAGAGCAAGTATAAGGCACTGGGTTCGATCCTCAGCATCACATGAAAATAAAAAAAATAAAATGAAGGTACTGTGACCAACTACAACTAAAAATATTTAAGAAAAAATAAAAAAGAAAACTAGATGCAATGATAGCTAATAATTTTAATGTGTTTAATCAATTCTGCTTGATTTTCAGGTTGTTTTCCAATATCTTTTATTGTGTGAATGCAAAAATTGTTTCTAAGGCCGGTTTTCAAATGCTTTTCTCTCCTTCTCTTTATAGCTTACATTAAAGGTGGGTGGATCCTTAGGAAAGCCTGGAAGATTTACAATAAATGCTATCTGGACATCAATGCCCTTCAGGAGCTGTATCAGAAGAAGCTAACTGAAGAGCCTTCGACTTCTGACACTGCAAATGATAATCACATTGTGGCTGAAGGGGTGACTGAGGAGTCCCTAAACAGACTGAAAGGTGCTGTTAGCTTTGGATATGGCCTTTTTCACCTTTGCATATCCATGGTGCCCCCAAACCTGCTCAAAATCATCAATCTGCTGGGGTTTCCTGGAGACCGCCTGCAGGGGCTTTCTTCACTGATGTATGCAAGCGAAAGTAAGGACATGAAGGCCCCTTTAGCTACGTGAGTAGCTATATTGCAATGCTTTGGTAGATAATATAGTGTTGAAAGTAAGTAATCGACAAGCAAAATCTTTAAAGGAAACTTCAGGAAAAATACGGGTTGGTTGACGCGATGCTGTGCCTTACGTCTTTGAATGCAGCACCAAGCACAGCGCTCTGTGCTGGTGGCGGTAGTTATGGGGTCCTGTATTTTAAACAGGTAAAGCGACCTTATTTACTCTCCACTAATTTTATAAGCCAATTTTGTGACTTTGACCACAGTCACGAAGATGCACGATCCTGATTTTTTTTAACTCAAGAGGTACAAATTTGATAAGCCTTTTCTGTGGCTTAGAAATTTTTATTCCTATAAAGAATCTTCTTATTGGATAATTTTCTTTCGTGGTTCTAGCTGGTCTGTTGGTCCCTTGTGTGACTTGGATATTTTGTGCTATTCTGCTCTATTGAGTCATTTTATGTTGCTCAGTGTAAACTTCCATGACAAGTCAACCTGCAATTTGAACAGTTTTACCAAACACCAGGTGTTCTTTGTCTGATATGATGCCACTTGTCAAAATTTTCCAAGCAGAATGTTGATATCACAGCGGACCTTAGTTAGATGATTCTTACGCATGTGAGTATTGAGGAATTTGGATGATAGCTCTTAATCTGTTGGAAGTTACTTAAAAATGATTATTTTTCATTTGAAAATATTTGTGCCTCCCCAAACTCATTAAATTACACAGTGGTCCTTTATTAATTTGAATTAACAGATTGATAACTTGTGATCATTTCTCTGTTTATATCTTAATATTATTTCATACTCATTTCTGAGAAATAAATGAATACATTTTAATTTAATTTAGATTAGTATGATCTCTGTGATAGAATTTATGAGCACACTGGAAGCTTACATTTCCATAAAAATATTTGCCATGCTGGCTAAACATTTTTTTTCTGTTCATTAAAGCAGATCTTAAGGACTCTGTTCTGTTTGCCTAAATTTAACATGACATTTCTCTTTAATGAGTTTGAAGTAAGGGAATTTTAAATAATTTATTTATGTATGTGTGTGTGTGTGTGTGTGTTTGTTTAAATTGAACATCTTTGAGGGCTGGAGAAAGGGCTATTAATCTGTTCCTCTCACTTATTTCAATGCAATGTGACAATATTTGTGACTGTGGATTCTTATTTAATAAATGTGGATTCTGAGGCTGGTATCCTAACTTTTGTGAACACAAGAGAAAGCCACATTTTCCTTTCGCAAAAAGTGAAAGCTTTTACTAAGAGAGGACAATAAATTCATGATGACAGGTTATGGTTCTTAATGTGGCCACTGATGACTGAGATATGGAATTCAGAAATGTACATGTCATATCTTCAGCCATCCATCCATCTAGAAGGCTAAATGCTTCTATTGCCCTCTCCCCTGATCTGATGGAAGGGGGGAATATGCTGATTTATACTTTGTGCTGAAGTAGCAATTTCCCAAATATCGATACCATTAAGATGGGGGAAATGTGCTCTGATATTATTTTATATTACATAGTAAGTTTTTTTTGGGGGGGTGTAGTAAAAGAACACATACTGATTAAAAAACAAAACAAAACAAAAAACAAAAAAACAGAAACAGTCCAAGAGAAATTCTGTTGTTCAGTGTCCCTGCTCTCTCCCTCTGCAGATTAGCTCTGCTCTGGTATCACACTGTGGTTCGCCCGTTTTTCGCCTTGGATGGCAGTGATAACAGAGCGGGCCTGGATGAAGCGAAGGAAATTCTTCTCAAAAAAGAATCTGCATATCCAAATTCTTCCCTCTTTATGTTTTTCAAGGGACGGATCCAACGATTAGAGGTATCGTACCTTCCTCGTCTTTTTAAAATAAAGCTTCTGATGATCAAAACTCCTCTATCTATCTGCTTGGGGGCCAGTATGGATGAGCCACAATGTCCTAGGCCCAGGAACATTTTGTTTGTTTGCCTTTCATTGCATTATTGCTAAGGAAGACTCTTCCAGGAACCCAGGATGTTAGTCAGTTACCTTCTGTTCAGGGGACGTGGGCAAAGCAAGGGTGACGTTCCTCATTGGTTATGAGGCATGATTGGTGTACTCGAAGCATAAGGCATGTGAGCGTTATTAACTCTCTCAGATTTAGAACACAAAATACAATTTTTTCCCTCTCTGACTTACTAACAATCTATTTCTAAATTTTGATCCTAGCTAACAATTTATATAAAAGTTTTACTGCCTTAAATGTCAGGATAGCATCAGCTTTGAAATAACAGTAGCTTTTATCAGATTTTCATGTGCTTCATTTGGCTAGGTACCATGCCAAGAGTGGTACACACACTATCCCATTCGCTTCTCAGAACAACCCTGTGCATAGATACAAGACTGTCATCTGCCTGTTACAGAAAAGAAACGCAAGGGTCTGAAGGGTTGCCAGTAATTCCCCGAGCTTCCTCAGCAAGGGAGCCCCAGTTGTCCCACTCCAAAGCCAAAATATACCCTGGCTTTTTTTGAGTTCCACTTCTCCTTTGCATCTTTATCTGCTTGCTCAGAGGCATGAAGGTTTGTAGAAAAATGAAAATAGAAGAGATTCATCATCCACATGAAAGAAGGTGGCTGTTAGACTGCATGCCCCACCCATTTTCTTACCAGTCAGTAGCAGTGAATCAATTTAAGGTTTTAACATCCTGTTACCGAGGCACTCCGCCAGAGTCGGCCCCTAGCAAATCCCAGAAGTACTTTTGGATATTTTTTTTTTTCCTGAGGAATGATGTCACAGGCACAAAGAAGGCTCATTTTTTTTGTGTGTGTGTGGAGTGGGGTGGGTGCATAGTGGCGGGTAAATGACTTCTCCAGTCATTTTCTTTTCCTTTTATGAAGTGAGTCCTTAAGTCTGAAGACTCTGCAGAGCAATTCTCTAATTTTCCAAGTCCTCTCTATGTATGTGTGTATTTGTATACACATAAATATGTCACAGGAAAGCAGGGAGCTGAAATTCCAAACCTCCATTTGTGTGTTCCAATGAAAGAAAATTTAAAGTCAGACACCAAGAGCCAAGGAAGAAAACTCTATTATAAGGAAAATTGAGGTGAAAATAAAGTAAAAGCAAAGTGAGGCTCAAGCAGAGACCCTCTCGAGAGAGAGTGGGCTGTGTCCATGCAGAGAACAACACAGGAGACTACACTGTCTCCAAGTTTCTTACTGTTTAATGTTGACCAGGAGAGCTGGGGACCACCTTCTGTGCTCTTTGCCAATCAGGTGTTCAACTCCTCCTTCATGTCAGGCAGTGGAGTTTTTAACCTTAGTTGGTCCTCTCCAGAGCTGTCATGGTGGCCATACTATTTAGGGGGACTTTGATTACAAGTCAATCCCATGTTAATGTAGGCACTGAGGTCAATAGCTGGTCAGAAGTTACCTTAGTGCGCCTGCACTACCAAAGGAATCTTCCTTTCCAGACCTCTAGCTGTAATACCTAGCTTCACAACAACATCAATGGACACTGTCAAGAGTTAGTCCCATTAATCCTTTTCTTTTGACATATGTTCCTATTAGCTCCTTTGCTTCTGTTTATTTTCTATAAATTAACTACACCATTTGCTTTCTCATCTATTTTGAAAGTAGTTTAAAGAAGACCCTAAAGTAATGTAAAGAACCACTTGTGAACTTTCCTGCATTTTACTGCTCTTTGGTAGCTACTACCTAATAGTTATACACGCACCCCCCCCCCCACACACACACACGAAGGTATATTTTAGAGGTTATACTAATAGTTTATAATTGGAACATAGTACAGAAAACTCACTAGGATCTGTTTATTTAAATCTATGTCCAAGTTATTTTTCTTCTGAATATCTTGAGACTCTTTTTCTTTGCATTCAGCTTTTTAAGTCTGTGGTTGTATTTCTCCCTCTTTTTCTCTTGCTCTAAGCAGCATAGTTCTGACCCATCTCTTATGTAGTCAGGCTATTAGTTAGTCTCCTTTTTTTTTCAAACTCCATGTTGTGGCCCTACTTGTAAGGAAAGATGTCCAGGTTCTCAAAGTTTCTTACTCCCTAGAGTGTGCAAGAGGAACTATGATGCAAAAGGAAATTTTGAACTGACTAAGCCTTCTCACTCCAGTGAACATTTCTGAAATGAAAGTTGAGTGCAGGATGAGTTCTTTCTTAGATTTAAATTTTTTAAAGGGCAAACATACTTTTTTTTTTTTTTTTGTACCAGGGGCACTTAACCACTGAACCACATCCCAGCCCTTTTTAATATTTTATTTAGAGACAGGGTCTCATCAAGTTGCTTGGGGCCTCACTAAGTTGCTGAGGCTGGCTTTGAACTTGCGATCCTCCTGCCTCAGCCTCCCAAACCACCGGGATTACAGGCCTGTGCCACTGTGCCTGGCACTGCATTCCTGTGACATATTAATATGTATACAAACACATACATATATTTTGAGTAGTGATGAATATCATGGTACAGGTTGCTCATCCTTAATCCAAACATCCAAAATCTGAAATGCTCCAAAACATGAAACATGTTGGACATCAGTACAATGCTGCACATGGAAAATTCCACACCTCACCTCATGTGATGGGTAGGTAGTCAAGATATAGGAGCACGATAAGTATCATATCATTACCTTCAGGCTGTGTGTATAAGGTAGATATGAAACGTACACGAACCTTGTGTTTGGACTTGGGTCCCATCCCCAAGATACCTCATGTGTGATTTTGTTCACTAAAGAAACTAAGCTAGTGTCATAGGCTGCACCTGCTTAAATTGTGCGTATACACATGTGTGTATTCACACAGGTGTGTGCATGCATTCACACATATACATTAACATAAACGTTCCCAAACTTGAAATTCAAAACTCAAAACACTTTGGTCTCAAGCACTTCAGGTAAGGGATACCCAGCCTGTCCTAGATATGGTGTTCAACAGAACTTTGCTGACTGGGGGTGAGAACCTAAAATTTACAGTCGTGTGCACCACAGCCGCAAGGCATCGTGACATTAGGTATTTATTAGAATTCTCTTCCTTTACTGCTCTGATGAATGAAGATTTTGTATTGTGCTTTGAAGTTGGTAAATAGGCATGCCAAAGTCAGGATTTATATTTTGTTCTGCTTGCCACTGCGTTAATTTTTCATTTTAAAATGAAAATGCTTAACTTATAGTTCAATCAAAAACTGCCCCTCCCCCCAAAAAATTCTTAAAATGTGACATCATTTTAGTTTGTGCCACAATTCATTCCTGTAAGGGGTGGAATAACACTAAGAGTAGGTGATCGTTCATTGTTGTTGGAATGGTTCTAGAAATAAGGGAGCCATGACTCCACAAAGCCTTCTCGTAACTACGGTTTGGGGAGATACATGGTCCTCCCTGTGGCTCTTAGTAAGTAATTCCTTCTCTTTAAGAGTAGACAACTGCAACCAGAGCGCAGGTGGCAATGCTGGAACTGTGTCCCTGTGAAGCAGCTTGCTCACTTGACTGGTATTTGGTTTGAAGAGAAAGGACATGAGATCTGTGACTGCTCTTGTGTGGGAGCCCCAGGGCTTGGCAAAATGTGAGGAGTGTTTCTGTTGGTCTCTTCCCCAAAGCCCAGAGGATGAATGGGTTTTAGGGCTTTCTTGAAATGCAATTGTTGTTATTCTCCTCAGGGTACCCAGACACTGGCCTTTCATGAATCTTCCCAAGTAGGAAGATTGTGGCACCCTTCATTTGCAGGTGAGAATCTCTGCCCAGGGAGATTCTCTAGTCAAGGGCTTTTTGTAATGCCTCTAAAGCCCTGCCTCTGATTTTGTAAACATAGGGCTCTGTGGATGAATTTGCTTGCAAAGAGCCTTTTTTCTTGTCAGCAAGCATTTAGATGAGTGATTGGACCCCATGGGGACTTTTATCAATGCACACAGAACGTGGTCTCAGGCTCCAGTTTAAGCAGGTGCAGCCTACGACACTATCTTAGTCTCTTCAGTGCACAAAATCACTGAAGAAATCACACAGAATCCACTCAACTGTTTGAACAGCTGTTCTGGAATAAAGCTTCCCTTCGTCTAGGGTGTTTAGCTCAATAGGCACAAATCCATTTCCACTCTCCTATACTCACTATTGTGAGTCATGTGCTGTTTCCCACTTTCTCTTTTCATTTCATGAACAGTTTTTTTTTTTTTAAAAAAAACAACATATTTTTCCTTTCCTTGTTTGAGACTATTTGGAATCCTTATGGGAGGATGATTTCTTTAACAGATCTGTTCCTCCTGCCACTCACATAAACCTCCTTGTAGTGGCTTCACTAGGCTCTGCCGTGGGGATCTCCCTTGACACTGTGGTGTAGTTCTACCCCTCAGTGGTGCTCTTGCCCCTGAGCTGGTGAGTACAGGAGTTGTTGCCAGACTGCAGAAAGAATTCCCTGCCTCTCTTTTTCCCAGCACTTTCAACCTTCTCCACCCATTGGTGTTGCCTTACTACTTATTCTGTTTTCCCTGGCTCCTGCCATCTGACTTGTGTCATGCTGTGGTGAATGAGACAGTGCCTAGCATATGGTGGATGCTGTGTAAGTAACCCAGTGACCATTGTTAATCACACTGAGTGTGTAAGCCTGGGAAGAAGGGTATCACATTTTTCTTTTGGGGAGAAAGCATTTATAGGCCTCTGATTGGAAAAATGGATATGCAGGTAGCTATGGGGACTCCGGGAACTACATAGGTATTCACTGTTCTTTGAGTTTCCATTGATGCAAAGAGCTATTAGGAAGTTGACATATGGATTGTATAGTACCCTTAATCTTAAAATGTGAATTTGTAGATAGAGTTTTGAATTTTTTTATTTCTTATCCAATTAAACCTATGTAATA